TCTTATCTGCTTAGAATCTGCTTTCTAGTCCTCTATCAGAGCTAGAGTTCAAGTTTCAGCTCTGTCACTTCTTAACTGTGGAAGTCACTAAGCCTTTTGCTCCTCTCAATAGGAAGACTATAATAACTGCCATAAAGTTTTCTAAGGGATTAAGTAAAACCTACAAATCAACGCAATAAAAAAAACAGACATTAACTTGAAGGAAATAAAATTATATTTGTAAAAATGCTTTTATACCCAAGTTTTAAAACTCAGGCTTGGGGTCAAATTATTCTACCAATTTACTAATTGCGTAACCTTAGACAACTGCTACATTTCCTTTCTGAGCCTCAGTTTCCTTGTTTATAAAGGGGACAATAAAACCTATCTCCTGAGGCAAAGCACCCAGGCATGTGAGGCAAGTGATAAACTTGGGTCCAGATGCTCAAATGAGTAAAGGCCAGGCAGGTGACATCCTGCTCAGAGCACAGGGGGAGTAGCATATTAAAGTTCAAGTTGCGGCAGTCATGTAATACGTAACATAGGTACAGGTGTGGGACAATAGAACAAGGCTCTTCTCACAGTAATGAGCTCTCTGTTTTCAATACTTTAAGGAAAGCTAGATGCTCATTAATCTGGGATGTTGGAGCGGGGATTTCCACTTTTGGTTTAGGATGAATCATTTTACAATATACAGCAGCATATAGAACATCAGCTTCTGTCAGGACTGTGCTAAATGATACAGCCAAAAATAATACAAAAAAGCCCTTAGTGATCTGTTGGTTTTACCTTTAATACATATTAAGACTCTAAATACTTCTCACTCCCTTCCATTGCTTCCTCCTTGTCTGGACCAAGTCACAATCACTTCTGCTTGGATTGTTTTTGTTTTTGAGACACAGTCTTACCCTGTCACTCTGGGTAGAGTGCTGTGGCGTCATAGCTCACAGCAACCTCAAACTCTTAGGCTCAAGTGATGTTCTTGCCTTAGCCTCCCCAAGTAGCTAGGACCACAGGCCCCTGCCACAACACATGGCTATTTTTTAGAGATGGGGTCTTGCTCTTGCTCAGGCTGGTCTTTAACCCCTGAGCTCAGGCAACCCACCCGCCTCGGCCTCCCAGAGTGTTGGGATTACAGGCGTGAGACATCATGCTGGCCTGCTTGGGTTACTCTTTCAGGTGGTCTTCCTGCTTCCACTATCTGTTTTCAATACAACAATTCCAGTCATTCCTTTAAAGTGTAAGTCAGATCACGTCTCTCTTGTGTTCAAAACTGTCCAGGGCTCTCCATCTCACTCTGGATAAAACCCAAAGTCCTTTTAATGTCCCATGGCCCACCCGTGCTGCCTTGTTAACTTTCTGACCTTATTTTTTAGTAGCTTTTCTCCTTCCTGATGTTCCTTGAATCTACCACCATGCATGTGTTTGCCGGGGAGACTTGCACTTATTGGTCCCCCTGCCTCTTATGCTCTTCTGTGATACCCGGATGGCTCAACATGTTACCTCTTTCTGGTATTTCTCAAGTATCACCTTTCCAGAAAGGCCTTAAATCACAAATCCCCATTGTTGCTTGTGTATGTGTGTAAGTGGTATATGCCTGTGCATACATACCTGTACTAGATTAGAATGTTTAGAAAATACTGAGTACTACCTATTCATTCTATAGAGGACCCTTTGATTCTTTTTAAGGAACCCTTACAGTTTTAACAGGGGGTACTTACTTTTATCCGAAAGCACTTTTCCTTCAGGCTTTCTGTAAGGGGCTGTTGTCCATCACTTAGTAACCTTTTTTCATATTTTACTACCTCTTTGTGGTTCTGTTGGTTCTGTTTTGGTTCAAAGAAATGAACAGGGGGTTAGCTATAACTACAACCACATGTAATGTCTAGTTGTATATGTTTTTATCACCTTTTCAACATCAATTTTCGATAACGGAATTAAATGTTATAACTCAAAAAACAATGTTAAAATGATCTGAAAATGAGTAACAGTATCACTAAACCTTATAGGGAGTAACCTCAAGTCATTGAGAAAAAAGTGAGAGAATCACATACTTTATAGAGATAAGATTTATTCTGCATAGTTGCAAATTAGCTTTTGCATTTATTTCTGATTCGTACTCTTCCAAATTTGTGCCCTATTCCTTTGTAGTTTTAACAAGGGGCATTTATTTTTATCTTAAAGCACTTTATTGTCACCAACCAAATACACTAGCAAAGCTACCTGTACTGTCCCTGGTATCCCAAGCCCTAGTCATATTCTTCCCAGCACCCTGGAACAGAAAGTTCATAACCTGTTTACATTTTGCCTTTCTGATTAAAAGTGAAAAACAAAACACTGTCTCCAACTTATTTTATCTCGTTCACTATAGTACATAGAAGAATGACTACTGCATAAATATTTGTTGAATAAATTAAATCTTTATATAAATTTAGTGAGGACCCACATAAAGATGTTTCTGCTGAGATAGCAAATTAAATTTCTACTCTATTCTTTATAATTGAAATGTGAAAATTAAAATTTTTTACAGATTTACTTCATATAATTTATTTGAACTTTTTATTACTTTATAGAGGATTCAGTTAAGTTTTTAAAAAAGTATGTAATTCTGGCCTCTGGGAGGCCAAGACTGAAAGATTGTGTGAGGCCAGGAGTTCAAGAAAAAAATATTAGCCAGGAATGATGTCTAGGGCTTGTGGTCCTAGCTTCTTGGGAGGCTGAGTCAGGAGGACCCCTTTAGTTCAGGAGTTTGGGGCTGCACTTAGATATGATGACATCACTGCATTCCAGCCCAGGTGGCATGTACTGATTTTGATTTCTTTCTTTATACAATCTGACGTGGTTATATCAAACCAGTCAACATAGCTTTCAACTCATCTCTTTCTTTAGCTATAGTTCTTATTTCTTTGAGGCTTTCATGAAGTTTCTTAGTCAAAATTACAATTTATCCATTTCCACACTTTGCATAGATAAACTTTGGGTCTCAAATTACTTCTTCAATTGGTCCATTTCATTCATTTTTTTTATGAGTCTTGTTAATACCTTCTTCCATTTTAAGAAGTTGAAGCTTTTTTTTCTGATCTTGGATCTTGGGATAATTATAAAACAAGTTAGAGTGCAAGCAGAATTCCTTCAGGGAAGGAGAAATAGTGTCTATTTGTTATATAAGTATTTGTATCTATGTATCTCTATTTTCTCTCATTCTACAAATAATTTTGGACACAGTTACTTCCAAAAGAATAACATATACCTTTTCCTGTAATTCATCTTTTAATTTATGTAAATCCTTTTGCATATTTGTAATTTGAGTTGTTTTTTCTGAAACTTTTTCTCTCAATTTATCAATGGTTTCTTGATGTCCTTTTGAACACATACGAGCAATTTTTAGTTCCCGTTGTGTTTCCAGATCCTTTATTATTAGAAGAAATAGAGAAATGTAATGATAAAAAGGCATATTTCCTTTTCTTAATAATTAGTTTAAACAAAATCTTAAAAGACTACCCCATTCTCATGTTTGGTGTTCAGTTATACAGACTGTGTCTTATTCGTGGACACGTGGATGACTTCTAGATTTTGGTTACCACGCACAACTCTGCAGGGAATGTTGTGTATTTTGCCCAAATGTGTAGAATGAACTTGCGGTACCAATTGTATAAACTGTATTAACTACAGATGCTGACACATTTTTAAGAAGACATTGTTAAATCATTTCCTTAAAAGGTTGTAACATTTGTCTTCTCACCTACAGTATCATCTATTTTTAAGGAAGGGAGATTTTACATTAAAACAGCATGTTTACTGGGTAGGAACAGACAGTACAACTCACTCTAGCTCGAGCTTCCTGCAGCTTTTCCTGGAGTTCATCTCTCTCCAGCTTAAGAGTCTCCTCTACTTTCCTTAGATTATCTCTTTCTTTCATCACGGATTTCATTTCTTCAAGGTTTTCATGAAGTTTCTGAGCCAAATTTAAGTTCTCCATTTCTCTTTCATCCAGAATTAAGCTTTGGTCTTTGAGCTGTTTCTTCAATTGCTCCATTTCAGACATTTTTTTCTGTGTCTTGCGGACATCTTCTTTTAACTTAAAAAGCTGATGTTCATTTGACTTAAGTTCTTGAATCTTAAGATAATCATAAAATAATAGGTTAGGATAAAGATGGCTTTTTAGGGACAGATAAAGAATAGTTTTCAAACTGATTAAGAAAACAGTCTGCTCACTGATATCCTGCACACTGATATCCTGCACTCTCACTGATATCCTGCACAATTCCACATAGAATTTAATTTTCTTCTGACATATAATATACATTAAATGCACTAATCTTAAGTGTATAACTCAATTATTTGTGACATTTGTGTACAACTATATAACGACGACCCAGATGAAAACAGAACTTTTCCAGGACTCCATAAGGTTCTTGGGTGCCCCCACTGGGGGGAGCCACTATTCTGACCTTTATCACCCTGAGGGCAGCTTTGCCTACTTCCAGACTTACAAATCACAATGTATTTATCCATTCTCTGATAGCAAAAAACTGAAAACAACTCAAATATCTATTTTTGACTAAAGCTTCTATGAAAGTTCTTGCACATGTGTTTTTATGGAAGCATGCACTGTTTTCTCTTGGGTACATACCCAAGGAGTGAAAAGGCTGGGCCTTGAAGCAGGCTGTGCTCAGCATTAGTAAATACTGTTATGCTGTTTTCCCATGAAGCTGAACCATTTTACATCCCCCCCCAATTTTAGGCACAAATAAATAAGATATCCAATCCAGCACTTCCCCTCCATACCTTTTCTTGTAATTTAGCATTTGAATTTTCTAAATCTATGTGCATGTGTGATATTTCATCTGTCTTCTCAGAAACAATTCCTCTGAGTTTATCAATAGTTTCCTGGTGCTCCTTCAGATGCATGTAAACAATTCTTAGTTCCTCTTGTTTTGTTAGTGCCTTTATCATGAAAGAAATTTTAAGAACAGTGACATTATCTCAATGTTAACTAGTATTTTTTAATAGTAATACTTTTTTTAGTAAGAGTAACATTTTGCTGTATGCTTTTGGTGTCAGAACTGTAGGCTTTCTTTCCCCTTGTTCTCATCTCCCCATAATCTTCTCCCGCCTTCCATGCAAACAAGCATTACACACATACTATTTTTTTAAGTATTGTATAGTATTTTAACACATTCTAAGGAACATTTAAATTGTTTCCCATTTTATTATAAACTACAATGAACAACCTTATGGTATGTGTACATACACACACACACACACGCGCGCGCGCACATATTCAATGATTGAGTCGATATACATGTAGGTTAAAGTCCATAAAAAATGCTGTTTTAGAGAATTAAAAATTTTCAAGAATATCAAGTAATACACTTAAAAGCTCTATCATTTCACTCTTGCCAACTAACCCACTTTTTTCAAAGAAGTGGCTTACTGCATTAAGAAAACAATACCTCTACTTGCTAGGAACAGGAATAAGTATAACTTACGTTAGCTTCTGTTTCTCTAAGACTTTCCTTAAGCTGGTCTCGCTCCATTTGGAGAGTTTCCTCTGCTCTTCTTAGGCTATCATTTTCCCTAGTAGCAAATCTTATTTCCTCAAGGTTTTGATGGAGTTTCTCAGTCAATCTTAATTTTTCCATTTCTATACTTGCCAGAGCTGAATTCTGGGTCTCTAATTGTCTTTTCACTTTCTCTGTTTGATACATAGTTTCCTCGAGATCATTTTTTACTTTAAGAAGTTGATGGTCTTTCTCCTGAAGTTCATGGATCTTGAGATAATCATAGAATAAATTAGGATAGCAATAGATACAGATAAAAAGCTAAATAATAGTCTAAACAGGCAAATCTTCACTTGCCTTCAATTTTAGGCTAATTCATATCTTGTTTCATTACACAAAAGATCTGATTCAAACTCTCAGTTACTCAATAACTTAAAACAAAATACCTGTGCTTTTAAGGCAGCATTTGAGTTTTCTAACTCTATTTGCATATTTGATACTTCATCTGTTTTCTGTGAAACAATCTCTTTGAGTCGATCAGTAGTTTCTTGGTGTTCTTTCAGAAGTGTGAGAGCAATTTTTAGTTCTTCTTGTTTTTCTAGGTCCTTTATCATTAGAGAAAGAAAAATAATACATGAAGAGTAAAACAAATTCACAAGCTATAGAAAGATCTAGGGTAGGAAGTAAACATCACCCTATCCTCCCAGTGCTCATTCTCTAAGCTACTTTTTGTTAATGTGTTCTAGATATACTACTCTGCAACTTACTCTTTTCCCTAATTAGACAACACTTCCAAATCATGACTATACCTCTACAACATTCTTCAACTATAGCACAGAAAGTATTCCATGATATGAATCTGCTCCATCTATTTAACCACTCTCTCACCAATGGAGGGTTATAATTTCCCCATTTTTTTGTTTGCTTTCATTTCATTATTGCAACTTACTGTAATATTCTATAAACACCTTTCAGTAAGTTTATTCACTGACCCAGAAAGTTAGTTGTAGCTTAACTCAGGAAAAAATGAGTGAACTAGAAAAATTCAAGGAGTATCTCAAACTCTTAATCAATTTGAGCCTATCATTCTCTAAATTTTGTAATGCAGAACCTTTGGCTTTGAGATACTGCTTGAATTGTTCCAGTTCACTCATTTTTTCTTAAGACTCACTAATTTCTTTTACACTAATAAGTTGTTGGTCGGGTGCAGTGGCTTGCATCTGTAATTCTGGTACTCTGGAAGGCCGAGGCCGGTGGATTGCTTGAGCTTGAGGAGTTTGGGACCAGCCTGAGCAAGGTGTAGTGGCCCATGCCTGTTGTCCCAGCTACTTGGGAGGCTGAGGCAAGAGGATTGCTCAGAGCAGCCCAACAGTTTGAGGTTGCTGTGAGCTGTGATGATGCTATGGTACTCTACCAGTGTGACAGAGTGAGTGTGTCTCAAAAAAAAAGTTGTTCTTGTTTCTCATAAAGCTCTTGGATCTTAAAAATTATTAAAAATAATTATAAAATATGTTAAAAGCCAAAAATATACATATACACATATTACTTATTTTAAGGAAAAAATTGCTTTGGAAAGCAACCTTGTTTAAGCGTGTTAAACAGTGGTCCTTATAATCTAGTTGGTTGCCCTCTACCCAGGCTACTTCTCACTGTTCCTCCACATACAATTTACCTTTTTCTGTAATTCATCACTGGCTGTTTCCAATTTGTTTTGAATGCTTGATATTTCAGTGTCCTTCTCTGAAAGAGCCACTCTCAATTTATCAATAGTTTCCTCTCGTTCTTTCAGGCAACAATGAGCAATTTTCAGTTCCTCTTCAATTTCCAGGTGCTTTATTAGAGGAAATTCCAAGAAATTTATAGAAAAATTATAACCATTACACAATAACTAACATGCCTTTTTCTAAAGGCATGGTGCTTATGAAAATATTTGCTTACAAAATATTAAAAAAAATACATGGTGAAGAGGTGAGACCTACTTTAGCTACAGCTTCTCGTATGTTTTCTCTGAGTTGGTCCCTCTCAGACTGAAGAGCTTCTTGCATTCTCTGTAAGTCATCTCTCTCCTTAGCTATGGAATTCACTTCATCATGGCTTTCTTGAAGTCTCTGGGACAACTTGAGCTTTTCCGTTTCTATTCTTTGTAGTGCTGAGTGTTTGGCTTTGAATTCTTCCTTCAATTGCTCCATCTCATTTGTTATTTTAAGAGCCTGATTGTTTCTTTCTTTCATATTGAAAGACTGTTCATGTTTATCTTGAGACTCTTGGACCTTAAGAAAATCAAAAAACAATACAGCTGATATTCAGAGATATTTTATTTTAGGGGAAATCAGAATACTTCCTAAAACAATTAAGGTAGGATCAATGACTCATTTACAGAGCAATCTTTTCATTTTACCGAGGGCTCACTGTGTTGTCAGTACCCTATTAGAGGTTGGAGACAAAATGGTAAATGAGACCTACATGATCTTTGCCTTTTCCTTACATTTTAGAAACAAAAATAGATGTTCTGCTGTATCTTACCAAATAGAGGTACTGGGTTTTCTCCAGGCATTAGTGTCAAACCTAACCTACTGTGAGTGATTAGGAAGGCTTATTAGCAGATAGAAAGCTTCCCCTGAGCTCTGAAGACAAAAGGAGTAAGAAAGCTCTGCTGATGGAGAGACCAGAGCATCTGAAAGGGGCAGCTGAGGAGGGACAAGTGAGTGTTGCTGGAGCCCAGGGAGCAGAAGGAAGGGGGAGCTGAATAAGGCTAGAGATAAGCAAGGTCTGCGATCCAGGGCCTGACAGGTCACATAGAGAATCCTGGTCTACACTTTAAGAGTAACAATGAGATGTTAAAGGAATTTAAAAAGAAAAAATTACTTGGGGGAGGGATTAAAGGTGGTAGACCAGAGACACCAGCTGCCAGACCGTCTCATAAAGAAGGAAAACTTTTAGATGAAAAAGGAAAAACTAACAATCAATCATAGAATGGTAACTCCAAGAGAAAATTGCCAGAACCTACAAACAATTCCATGGGAAGAAGCTGCAGAGCAGAACAAGAAGGTGCAGGATATCAGCGGAGGACAACCCCAGAGACCTGTGGCCCAGAGAGCAGGGGGTGGAGTGGTTTGCTCCTCCCGCTCCTGAATCTCTGACATAGATTTCCTGCTGAGGAGATTAGAAAGATAATAAGGCTTTACAAGGATGCTGGAGGAACTAGTTTAAAGAAGGAAAGAAAATAAGGCATTTTTGGTTTTACCCTTTCTAATAGTTTAATACTGCTTTTTCTAAATCATTTTGAATATTTAAGAAAACAGTTGTCTTCTCTGAAACACTTCTCTCAGTTTGGGAGTTTCTTAGTATTCATGACAATTTTTAATTGCTCTGTTTCTAGTTACTTCATGGTTAACAGAAAATTGGTACTGACATTACAAATCAGGGTGTCCATAAAGTTTGTATGCAATTTAAAGTAGACAACTATTTTAACTATTTTAAATTCCCTGTATAATACAAACACCTCCTCCCTTTCTGAAGAGTTGATTCATACTTGTAAGGCAGGAGAAAAACATGACACTTACTTTAGCCAGAGTTTCTCTAATGTCTGCCTTCAGCCGCTCATATTCAACTTCAAGCGCTTCTTTTATCATTTGAAGGTTGTCTCTTTCCTTACTTAGAGACTTTATTTCTTCATGACTTTCTTGAAGTTTCTCGGTCAACTTGAGCCTTTCCATTTCTATGCTTACAAGTGGTGCCGAGTCCTGGGTTGTGGATTGTTCTCTCAGTAACTCCAATTCATTTATTGTTTCCTGAGTCTCGCTGACTATGATCTCATTAGGAAACAGCTCCTGTTCATCGCGAAGCCCTGGATTCTTGGATAGTGATAACATATCAACGTTGCTATCTGGAGATTACTAACAATAATTTTCTTTTCAGCTTAGACCCAGTGTGTACCAATCCTTATACTCTACCAACTGTTAATTCAGTCAGCTGCACACTTATTTCTAGACTAGTTTCTAAATGCTACAAGGGAAAAATTGTAGTTAAGTAGCCTATATCCCAATAAGTGTTAGGTTCCCATTTTCAAATGGGCCCCATTGCTACTTCTCAAATTTTCTATGTGTATGGATACCATCATCATTAGTGGTACCATGTAATTCTGCATATTATATTTCTGTATTTACCATATTGGACTTGAGGGATTTTTTTTTATATGCTTCTATTGGGGGAAAGAACAATGTCTTATTTATATCAATAGTCTCAATGTCAGGCACAGAGTAGGAGTTTAACTCATGTTGGCCCAGTTATCCTGGTACTGTATTTTCTCCACAGCATTCACTATTATGTTATCTTTGTACATTTGATTGCTTATTTATCAGCTACTTTCTTCTAGTAGAAATGGATCATAGACATTTTAGAGATTTTGTCCATTTTGTTCCTACTGTACAATCCAGGACTGTGTCTGACACATCAGACACTCACAAATCCTTACCCAATAAGGGAATGAACTACAAGTTAGCCACTACTGCCTGCTTACTTTTCTTTAAAGGAGAAAGGAAGAAGTGCCAAAGGATAAAAGGAAGAAAAGACATACCTTCTCTTGGGACTCGGTATTGGATTTTTCTAAGTCCTTCTGCATATTTATTATTTGAGCTGTCTTCTCAGAAATGCTTCTTTTTAGCTCATTAATAGTTTCTTGGTGGTCTTTTAGATGCATATGAGCAATTTTTAGTTCTTCTGTTGTCTGCAGGCCCTTAATTGGCAAGTGAAATTTAAGAAATACTATAACATTATCCCAACATTGCTTCCCCCTTTCCAATTGGTTTAGTCTTTGAAAGGAACATTTGACAAATTAAGGGAAAGGGTTTAACTTACCGTAGCTTCAATTTCTCTTATATATCCTTTAAGCTGGTCTCTCTCTGTTTCAAATGACTCCTGTAATTCCTTCAGATCATTTCTTTCTTTGGTTATTGATTTCATTTCCTCATAATTTTCACGAAGTTTCTCGGCCAACTCAAGCCGCTCTGTTTCCATACGTTCCATGGTTAATTCTTGACTCTTTAATTTGTTCTTTAAATTCTCCATTTCATTTACCTTTTTCTGCAACTCACTCATCTCTTCCTGTACACTAAGAAGTTGTTGCTGTTTTTCTTGGAGTTGCTGGCTCTTAAGATGTACAATTTTTATAGTTAATATCTTGCCTACATTCTCTTAAGATTCTTATGTAAAATAATTAATAGCTCTGCCTCATCTCCCCATCTAAACAGACAAGTAGCACTAAAAATAAACTAATCTTCCAGACATAATTTTCTGTAGTAGGCTGAATAGTGTCCAAACCAAATTCATGACTATCTGAATCATCAGAATATGAATTTATTTGTAAATAGTGTCTGTGCGGTGTAATTACATTATAAAGAGAGCCTAGTGAGTAGTTCCCCAATCCACTGAGAGTGTATTTAAACAAGACAGAAAAGGACATACAAAGACACAGATTAGAAGGTCATGGGAAGAAGGAAGCAGAGCCAGGAGTGATGCAGTAACAAGCCAAGGAATGCCAGGGGCGCTGGGGGTACCAGAAGCTACGAAGAGGCAAGGAAGAGTTTTCCCTAGAGCCTTCAGAAGGAACATGGTACTTGCTGACACTTCAGTTTTGGACTTTCAGTTTCTACAACTGTGACAGAATAAATTTCTTCTATTGTAAGCCACAAAGTTTATCGCAATCTGATATGGCAGCCCTAGGACAATGATTGATTAGGATGTAAGGGGAAAATGAGGTTAAAGTAACTGCACAACTGTAGCTATCAAATAACTAATTCCTCATTCTCTTAAAATTTTTTTGAATATTTTCATGTCTAATAAAATGCTTATGTGGGGTAGACTCCCAAAACAGAAACACTGGCCATCACAGGGTATTGACTTTATTTCTTTAGGAGGAGTATGAAAAAGACATAAGGCTCTAGTAAACTCAATCAGGTAATATAGTGAAAGGGATCTGAATGAAAAGAAAACAAATATTAGGAAAAAATAAAACCCCAAACACTCCACAGAAGTACAATAGAAAAAAGAAGACTAGAACCCACAATATATTATCTTATAATGCATGTAGCACTGTTCCTAACAAGTATTTACAGCAGCACTTTATTTCTAGAAAAGCAATGATCCAGGAAACTGCAGACATCACAGAGACGGTAACGTGATAGATCTTAAGTTTTAGAGAATGACATTAATATATCTTTATAAGGGGAGGATATTTATTTTGTTGCCTAATGCATCTAAGTGCCTGGTCCATGGTAGTATTCAGTATGTATCTGATGAATGAATAGATGCAATTTCATTAAACGATACAAGGCCCTCCGCCACTTAAAGACTCTAGAATAATATAATCCTTACGAAGTATGTTAATTTAGATCTCAGTGTAAGGTAAAACTGTCTAAAACATTAGCATTGAGATTTGTGCACTTAAGAGGTACCTACTGTTTCTGAATTTAGATTTATGGGAATCAAAATTTATTACAAAAAAAAAAGTTTAATTATGAAAAGTGGCCAAGAGGATAACTTTAAAAATTCACCTTTTCTTTCAGGTTTTCTTCAACCTCTGCCAGTCTCTTATAGGTCCTAGAAAGTTCCTCTTCTTCTTGCTTTATGGAGTGGTTCTTTTCCTGAGCAACTATTTCTTGTTGCTTTTTAAGTTCATCTCTAAGAATTCTTAATTCTTCTTGGTTTTCAATGGTCTAGAATTAAAAAAAAAAGTTTAGATGAAAATAAATCCTAATTTATATTTATAAAAGCAGGTAAAAATCAGCATTTATCTCAGCCCGTAAATGAAGACATCAGGGTAAATTATACAGGAAAAGACAGGACATATTCTGCCAAGAATATGTTTTGTTTTTTGTTTTTTTGAGGCAGAGTCTCACTTTATCGCCCTCAGTAGAGCACTGTGGAGTTATAGCTCACAGCAACCTCAATTCTTGGGCTCAAATGATTCTCTTGCCTCAACATCCTGAACAGCTGGGACTACAGGCACCTGCACAATGCCTGGTTATTTTTAGAGACAGAGTCTCACTGTGGCTCAGGCTGGTCTTGAACCTGTGTGCTCAGGCAATCCACCAGCCTTGGCTACTCAGAGTGCTGGGATTACAAACATGAGCCAACACATCCACCCAAGAATATGTTTTTTATACTGTTTCATTATGGCCCAATTTACACTCCTACAGTGAGAATCAGAACTAGATCTGGCATTCTATCATGGGAGCTTAGCTCATTTCTGTCCCTGAGAGACTAATCAGTGCCTGGTCCTCAGTAGTGAACAATAAATATTTGATGAATGAATATATATGATTTCTATCGTTGACTAATAATGAGATTATAGTTAATGGGTTTTTCAGACACTGGAATGGTTTTGATTTAGGACTCTGATTACCAGCTAGCTCAAAATGGCAGCTGCCCTTTGTTAGAACGTCTCGGGCTAATCCCAATTAGGAAGATCACATGATAACATTCTCATTTATCAGGACAAAACAAAAATCCGTAAACATAAATAGCCAGAGATAGAAAAGTGAATATAGTTTTTGTTTGTATGCCTATTTACATTCAGCAATTTGACTAAGCTAAAAATCTCCAGAAACTCAGAAAACTGACACACCACAAATGGTCAAGTTCAACTGTGACCTACAGTGAACTTTCCTTCTTCTTCTTTTTTAAATTAAATTATAACTGTGTACATTGATGTATTGGTGGGGGTCAATGTACTGATCTGATGAAATGCTTACGTTGAACTGATGGACACATCCATATTAATTTCAGACTATAAACATTGATTGTCCCTAAACAAAGATACAAACTAAATTAGGTGTGAAAATACTGATAAACACCAATAAACAATTAAAAATGAAAATATTACGATAGCATATATAAGAGAAATATTTAGGAATTTGACAAGACATGTAAAAGATCTGTACACTGAAAATCTATAACACAGTATTGAGAAAACAGGTAAATGACAGAAAAAAGATGAAGGGCAATAAGCATGAGAAAAAATGTTCAACATGTTTTGCTGTTAGGGAAAGACAAATTACAACAAAGTATGCACCCACTAAAATGGATAAAATTAAAAGCACCAATACATATGAAGTGTTGGTAAGGAAGAACGTAGAGCCACTAGAATTCTCTTAATTTACTGATAGGAATGTAAAATGGTGCAACTACTTTGGAAATCAACCTACCAAATTCTCATCAAGTTATATATACATTTCCCTATGACCCATCAATTCCATTTAGATATTTCTTAGAGAAATAAAAAATAAATATGCATATATAAAAAGAGCTAAGAATTATACAAAAATGTTTATAAAAGTTTTATGCAAAACAGCCACAACAAATACTGGAAGTAACCCAGATTTCCATCTATAAGAGAGAGAATAAAACAAAGACAAAACAGTGGCATATTCAGACAAGGGACTAATACTCAGCAATAGAAATGCATACAGAAAGAATCAAACACAAAAGACTACATGCTATATGACTGTATTTGCATGAAGTTCTAGAAGAGGCAGAATGTAAACTGAACACATCAGAACTGGTAATCTGGGATAGACGGGAGGAATGATGATCAGCTGATAGGGTTATGAGGAAACTTTTTGGGATGATGATGAAAATATGTTCTACCTTGACAGGTGGGAAGTACATAAGTAGAGACGGTTGTCGGAAGTCATCAGACTGTCCATTACCATCAGATACAGTTAGTGCACAAAAATTATATGTAAATAAAATTGATAAAAATCAAAACAAAGACATAAACGTATTGCCGTGCACACAGTGCTAAATCCTACCATTTCAATGTTTTCCTTTAGGTCCGTCTTCAGTTGTTCCTTTTCCGCTGTAATACTCTCTAACATTTGTTGGAGTTCATTCTTTTCTTGTATTAAAGAAAATATTTTTCTCTGTTGCTCAATTACCTCATTATCCTTAACATCTGCAGTCAGTGTTTGAGTCTTTTTAGAATTCTCCAAATTCTCTTTTTCATCTGTGCCAACCATCTAAAATACAAATATGTTAAAGAAGAATTTCTTAAGTAGTTAATAACAATAACTTTAATAATAAAATAGCCAATACTATTATGTTATATACCAGGTACTATTCTCACATTTTAAACGCTTTATCTTGACTATCACTTTATGAGGTAGGTATTATTATAATCCCCATTGGAGAGATGGGGAAACAGAACTCCAGAGAGGTAAAGTCACTTGCCCAAGGTCACTCAAAGAGATACAGCCAGGTTTGAACCCAACATGCTGGCTCCAGAGTTCATGCTCTTCTGCCTGTTCATTTATAAGAACTATTATTAGTATAATAATAATCTTCACATATAATAGGTTAACCTGACTCTATGCATATTCCCTTACTTTAAACTAATTACACAATAAATAAAAGATACCTGCCTTTCCTTTGTACACACATATCTTCCATAAATATTTCCTAAGTTTCATACTACTAGCAGTTTGTTTTTGGACCCCTACAGGAGTGGAACAGGCAATTTTGAACTCTATCACTTTACCTATTCCCCCCACCACACAAAAAGCTGGAAATCATTCCCTATTCCCCATTTCAGAGGCAGTTGTACTTACAATATGCTAGAGAGTTTTATTATGCATAAAAGGTAAACTAATTTTGACAGAGACCTATCTCATAATATAAAAGCACAATTCATCTTTCTTTATATATATATATATTTATATACTGCTTAAGAAAAGCATGTTATATAAATTAACATAAACAATATGTGGACTCATTGGTAAAGGGAAACAGAAACCGATATTATGATTACTAGTACAAAATTAGAGTATTACTCTATAATCTTACCCTAGCCCACTAAACATGTTCAGCTTCATATTGGCCACACATGTATTAAAAAGTTTTTATGATAATGTGTAATCACATTAGAAAAAAATTAAAATAAAAAGGAATAAAACATCCAATGTTACTACCTTCACATAACTACTAGAATTCTGGTATATTTCCTTCCAGAGTTTTTCCTATTAAATATTTTTCTTAAACATAGCTATTATAATTAATTCATATACATATGATTCTTTTTAGCTTGTCTTTTCCACTTGGATCATATCTATTTTTCCATATTGTCATGCAATCTTCAAATTTTAAGTTGTTGCTTCATTCTCTAGAGCAGATATGAATAAATCACACTTTACTGAACTACCCATATTGTTGGAAACATGCATGAACTTCTGCCAACGATGAACACAGAGCTGACTACTTGAGAGATTAAGGTCGGAAGCACACTTGTTTTGGTTGTAGTCTATTAGGTATCATATCATATTTCATAATTCATAAAGTTGCATCTTTATTCCTAGAAACAGCAGCATACACAAATACAAACCAGACTATGACAGAATTCTACAGTGAGTCATGATCCATTTCAAATCTGAATTCAGCCTTAAAGGGCATTTCTGCTACCCTTGTTCTGAGCAAATCTAAAGATCTAATATTAAATAAAGAAAAAAATTTGTCCTTTATAGGAGAATAAGTTTATCTATCATAAAGTTTAAAATTTTTGTTGAGATACACTGAAAAAACTGCATTTCCAGAAAGAAACACATCAAGTCGGACCAAAAACAAGCACTCCAAGGGGACTGATTCACGGTAGACCCACCAACACAGCCTTCTGTGCCCAGGTGGACAGAGGTGGCCCTAGGAATCCCCACACCCACTCTTCCATATATACATGGCCAATTCCAATGTATAGTAAATAAAACTCTTGTATAACATTATAGGCAATCCCCTCTGTATGGTCTGAATTGTGAACTCTAAGCAAATTTAGTACATAAAATCTGACATAAAATATCAGCTATCCAAAGTTTGAACTCCTTTTTTGTCCTTTCCTTTTCAAATTGATTATAAGCAATTATATTCTAAGTTATTAGGTTAAGCTTGTAAAATTATTGTTAGTTACTACCATTATTAATAACAAACAAAATCAAGATTACCATTATATACTTAAATGTTCGAGGTTAAAGAAATAGCTTAATACAACTACATGAAAACTTTTTAAATAAACATCCTTTACCTTTTGCTGAACTTCATCTTTAGTTTCTTCTATGTTTTCCACTACATGCAAATTCCTGGAGGTTTCCTCAGAAATTTTTAACTTCAGTGTGCTAATTGTTTCTTGGTGCTGTTTCAAAGACTCTAGAGCATTTCGTAATTGTTCTTGAGTGTCTATATTCTTTGTCAGAGAAATAGAAAATAATTTCCATTAGAATATGAAACAAAATAATTTTATAGTTACTACTTGATCATAAATAATAAATGATGGCTCTTGTAATGCTTTTAAAGAGGCTTTGAGTTTTCAAAGTTTAGTCAATCAAACCCTTACCATGTTTACAGTATCCTGAATGTCACTTTTGAGTTGGTCCCTCTCAGTTTGCAGGGTCTCTTGGAGTTGTTTTAGGTCATCTCTTTCTTGGGTTAAAACTTTTACTTCTTCTGAGGTTTGCTGAAGTTTCTCAGTAATCAGTGTATTTTCCTTTTCTACAGTTTGCAGCACAGAGTCTGCCTTTTCTAATTGTTCCTTCAGCTGTTCCACCTCATTTAACCTTTCGTGACACTCAAATGTCTTCTGCTGAAGTTCTTGAGTCTTATGAGAAAGCTACAAAAAAAGAAAAAAAAAAAAAGAGTAAACAGGACAGATTAGAAGCAGAGCAGTCTATGACATGGGCACACATGCACACACACAGACACATACATATAAACACACACCAAACCCAGGAAAGCTAAAGGTCATTTCTCTAGATAGCACCTTGTACCAACCTCTGTCTTCAAAGCATCCAGACTTAGGCCAAAGTTTTGTGCTTCTTTAGAGAGATTTCCCATTTCCTGGTTCATTCTCTCATTCTCCTCAAGGACCATCTTGTACTTTTGCTCAAATTCCATATGGAAGGTTTTGAAATCTTGGAATTCTTGATCAGTACTTTTATAATTCAACTGGGCAGTTGTTAAGTCATCTTTAATTTTACCAATTTCGTCAAGTAAACCTTGAATTCTATCTTCCTTATGAACAACTTCAGAAAACAATTTGTCTTTTTCTGATGTTATCATACAAAGCTCTTCAGATTTATCATGTATCTATGGACAAGAAATAAAATTTAGCAATGTATAATTCGCTGAAGTGATTTTGAGGAAAAAATTTCTCTGCAGAAATAAAAAGTTATTTAAATTAAGCAAAGACTGGAGAAAGGCAATACATTTCTCTAACTTAGGACGTGTCTTCTCTTCTCATTCTAAAGAGTTTTCTAACCTTATTGGATGCCAGGCATTTCATAGTTTTTCGAAGGATTTGAAAGTAGCTTAGATATCACAAAACTTAATCCACGAATAATTTAAATAATTGCTAAAAATTATTATTTAAAAAGCATTATTTAAATAATCCAGATCTGGTATATAAATTGTTCAGTCATTACGAAGGACAAAGGTACATGGAGATGAGAAGAGGAGAGTTAAAAAAAAGAGATTAAAAAAAAAAAAGAGGAGTGATACAAGAGAGCCCAGGGAAAGAAGGTCACAATTACAGGCACAGGAGGCAGATCCACGTGGCTCAACTATTAGTATGACAGCTGCCTGCTGGGGTTAAAACACAACACCTACTTTCAAAGACTTTACACGATGACTAAATAAAATAATATTTTGGAAGTTCTTCACCATGTTTGCCATATAGTAAGTACTCAAATTTTTACTTCTTGTATAAAGGTACACACAAAAAAAAGCCATGGATTTACACAATCAATCACTAGACTGCAAGACTTGTATTGGCCTTTAAAAGTTCATCAGCACCACTCCCTCTTTACTCTTCCATTCAACACAGTGATATGACTACTATGAAAAAAATAAGTGTGAAGACCAAGGGTGGGCCATGGAACTATTTAAATGCCCTATCTGAGGACTAGAGAAATGGCTGCAACATGGATTATGTTAGTGGGTTATTACAAAAGTTTTGAGATACACAAAAATCAAGAAATATAAAATCCACATGGAGGGAAAAAATGAAGCCCTCCCAGCAACACTGAAAGGCCGAGCAAGGTGAAACTTGCCTGGGTGAATCAGAAAAGATGCTATTGGCTGTGTTTCTTAGAAGTGAAACAATGGATCATGACACAGTCTGTCTCAAAACTTTTCCAGGTTTTGGTCTGGCCAGTGGTTCATGCCTATAATCCTGCTAGCATTAGGATCTGGGAGGCAGAGGTGGGTAGACTGCTTGAGCTCAGGGGTTTCAGAATAGCCTGAGCAACAGTGAGACCCCATCTCTACTAAAAATAGAGGGGGTTGCCTATAGTTCCAGCTACTCAGGAGGCTGAGGCAAGAGGATCACTCAAGTCCAAGAGCATGCTGTGAGCTAGCATGCCATAAGATTCCACCTAGAGTGACAGAGTGAGACTCTGTCTCAAGAAAAAAAAAGATGTTACGGAAGAGTTCATCAAAAAGTTCCTAAACTTCACCAGAGGCTTCCAGGATGACATCATCTTCAACGCTGATGAGTGTGAACTCTTTTTCAAGGTGGAGCCTCATCATGAGGGTGATAAATGTAAGAGCAGCAAACTTTGCAAAGAACGTTTCACAGTTCTGCTTTGTGTTAGCTCAACTGGAGAGATACTAAAGTCCTTGGTGATTGGTATATTGGCTCATTCAAGAACTTGAAGCCCAAAGACCTCCCTAACACTTGGAGAACAAACAAATGTGCATGACGACTGTGCCCTATTTGAGGAGTGGGTAGGGGGTATCAACCTAGAAATGAAGAAGAAATGGTCTACTCTACTGACAGTTGACAAGTGTCCTGGCCACATGCAAATGAATCATCTCATGAACGTGACACTAAAATTTATGCCTCCAAACACAATCTCAAAAATCCAACCTCTTGACCAAGGCATGATTAAAACATTTGAAATGCACTATGGTGCTCAGCTCCTGCAGTGGGTCATTACTAAAACATAAACCTGTGGTCTGCTAGTGGAAGCCACTATATCCACTCTACCAGTGAATGTGTTAGATGCTGTTTTTGCTTGGAATAAAGTTCAGCCAGAAATGATACAGAAATGTTTCAGCCAAGTTGGGTTTATCACAACCCAAGAGCATGATGTTTTGGCCCCATTAGACCGTCCATCTGCCATGGCAGAATATGAAGGCGATTTTGAAGGTTTTGTTGTAATGGATGATGTGGTGGCAACCTGCAATGAACCTGACCAAGAAGCAATTTTCCAAGTGATACTAACTAGAGTACAGGCCAGCTTAAAAGTGTATGAAGTAGTTAATGAAGTAGAAAAAGTGAGGATGACACAGACATTAGAAAGGCCCCCCCAAAAGAAGCTGTTAGGCATCTGATAATGCAGTTGAAGGCATCTGCTGTGCAAAAATGCCTAGGTATGCTGAGTCAGGTAGCTAATGTTGAGAATTCTGTCCAACATTAGCTTTGTATCCAACATTAGATTTGTAACATTAGATTTGTAATGTTGGATTAGATATCCAACATTAGATTTGTATCACGCAATAAGAAACATTGTAACATTAGATTTGTAATGTTGGATTAGATATCCAACATTAGATTTGTATCACGCAATAAGAAACAGACCAAGATTGAGCCTTTTTCAGAAGGAATGACTAAACCATGAGAAAACAGGACATGTACTGATTTTGTAATACTATATTACTTTACTGTGTTTTGATCATGTATGATTTTGTATGATATTCTCTAATAAAAGCTGTACAAGAGAGTAAAGTATGTGCACATATCAGCACACTAGGCCTGGTTCCTTATGTTGACCAGTTTGTTATAGTCCCTTGTGTTGTAAACTTAGAGGTTCTACTGTTTTTTTTTTGTTTTTTTTTAATAACTAGTAGCATAAGAACGAATTAAAAGATGAACTATATTCATTTTTCTTCTTAAGCTGAGTCAAATGTTTCAGTGTCTCTTGCTTACTAGTTTAAAATATACTAAACCAAAATATTTAAGTTACTTTTGCAATGCTTTTTATTCCAAATAAAGGTTAAGTGCTTAAAAATGTGTTACCTCTTTCCTTAGCATCTCTACTTCAGGGCATAAAGATTTTGCCTCTGAGAGCAAACTGACTTCTTTCCGCAAAGCCTCATTTTCTTCAGCTTCTTTTTTCAGTTCTTTCTGGAGATCAGTAATCTTTTTTTCCAATTCCAAATTACAGAGCAAATCTAGGAAGTTTTGGTAAATTAAGTAAAGAGCCAATATTGGCAAACAGTTAGTCTAAGTTTTAATATTCATTGAATCACCTTTTTAAGATCATGTCCAATTTATTTGAAAAATAATTTTTAAAACCTTATGATTTGAAGCCCATGGAAATCACTATAAATACTAATACCAGTGATACCAATATCTTAACTACCAATACCAATATTTAAAAAGTCAGAATATAACAGATGTTTAATCATTGGAATATAGTTGTCAATAATTCAGGCACATTTCTTTCTTTCTTTTTTTTTTGCTTATTTTATTTTATTTTTTTATGGAGACAGAGTCTCACTTATGTCCTAGAGTACTGTAGAATCATAGCTCACAGCAACCTCTGCCAACCCCTTGGTCCCTGGGTTTAAGTGATTCTCTAGCCTCAGCTTCCCAAGTAGCTGGGATTACAGGTACCTGCCAGAATGCCCGGCAATTTTTGGTAGAGACGGGGTCTCACTCTGGCTCATGCTGGTCTCGAACCTCTGAGCACAGGTGATCCACCTGCCTTGGCCTCCCACAGCACTGGGACAAGAGCTGTGAGCTACCACGCCTGGCCCAGGCACATTTCTAGAAAAGTTTTCACAAAGAAAAATTTGAAATAAACAATTACCTTTTGGAACCTTTCCATGTAAGAGGGAGGTGAGTTTTGTTATTTCATTAAAAGCAGATTGTAATTCTTTCTCCAGATCAATCTGCATTTTCTTTTTTGCCTCTAATTGGCTTTGATATAACCGAGTATCATTTTCCATTTGCTTGCATGTACCTGTAAGCTCTTTCTAGGGAGAAAAACATTGCAAATTCACAAAAATGTACTAATCATTACAACTGCTTTATTATCAATGTTATAAAATTTATTTACCATTTTCTCTTTCAGTTCTATATTTTCACTTCTAAGAAAAGCTGATTCTCTCTTGGCATCAAGGGCTACAGTTTCAGTATCGAACAGAGTTTGTTTTATCTGTTTTAGGTCTTCAGTGTTTTCCTAGACAGATGACAAAAGGGATTCAGTGAAATACGATTTTTGTGGAGATGGAAATACTTTAGAGAGCATATACACAGATAGTATTCCTAACTAAAAACATGCTAATTACCAAATAAATGAAATCATGTTTTCTATAATAAAAATATTTTGAAAATTCTGGCCATATTTTTCTAAAATATAAAAGCAATGTATGGATGTATAAGTTAAGAAATCTGTTAGTGTTCAATTAAAGGTTAACACAATTGTTCAACTAAGCTGTTTAAGTTCCCTACGTATTTTTGAGTTATTCTAACAGATGACAGCTGAGTAGTTAATAGCTAAAATTAAGGATATTAAACCATAAATTTCAAAGAAAAAGACAAATAATCCAACAAATATCCAAAGACAAATAATCAAGAAAAATAGAGAAAAAAGAACAGGCAACTCACAGAAAAGAAATTGCAAATGACAAATACATGAAAAATAACACGCCTTTGTTAGAAGTGGCATTTTAATGTGACTTTAGCTTACATGAATTCAATGATATGTCCTTAGCAATAACTTAACACATGAATGAATGAATAAATGAATGCATAACAAGAGAAATGATTTTTAAAAGTAGGCAATTCTGCTTGCCACTCTATGAATAAATACTCCAGAAATGTATGGAAATGCCTTCCTACCTGCAGAATAGTGTGCTGTGAGATGGTGTGAACCCTTTTATAGAGAATAGTGTGCTGTGAGATGGTGTGAAACCTTTTATAGAGAATCATTTGTCTCAAATAGAAGTCAAAAAAAGAATATAATAAAAGGTAACAAAAAGTACTCAGAAAAACTCAAATGCAAAGATCAATCAGAAATGAAAAAAGGAGAAATTGAGGGTGGACATGTAGGTACTTAAGGGAAGAGTCATATCTTGATGTGCTTAAATGGCTAGAAATAATGGTTTAATAAACTTAAAACCAATTTTGAATTGTTTACGTAGGTTAGAAATTGAATTAAGGAAATGATTATAGATGATGGGCAAAAGGGAACACAGACAGGAAAGAAGTGGATCAGAGAAACCCAAAAGCTGTTGCAAAGTGCAATAGCCTGAAACCTGGTGTTTTCAAGCAGACTGTCTTGCTGGAACTTCACCCCTCCCCCAGAGCAACTTGGCTCAGAGGTCACTGAGTGGGCAAGACTCGCCCACCCAGGCAGGGCTGCCCTCTTAGGTAGAGTTAGTGCTTTTGGGGAGTTAGTGAGGGAATGCTAAACTCACTGGAGACAGAGCAAGCGTCTAAACCTTGTTAAGAGAGAAAAGGTCTCTCAGGAAACATAAGGAGAAAAATATCTCCTTTTTGCTGTTACCTTGGTATGGACAGAAGTGCCAGCTTGTCTGAGCACAAGTCTTTCTGGAGGGGGCGGTTGTTAATTGCCCCACCTGAGATACGTGTGTGTGGTCTAACTGGGGTCTGCTTTGACATCCTGCTCCTGGACTATGTTCTCTGTCCTATGCTCTGTCTGTGTTAAGATTATAAATAATTTAGAGTAATAATAGTGAGAAGTAAATCAGTCTAATTAATGTAGTTAGTTAAAGGAACAGTTTGGTTAGAAAATGCAAGCCCAGCAAGAACCATGATGTAAGCAGGCATCATCAAACTACAGCCCGTGGGCCACATGCAGCCCGCTGAGGACATTTATCCAGCCAGTTGGGTGTTTTTGCCACCGCTGCCTGTCCTGCTTAGCAGCTAACTTGTCCTGGGGCCTGCAGTCTGGCCCTGCAACGGGTCTGAGGGATAGTGAACTGGTCCCCTGTTTAAAAAGTTTGAGGACCCCTGATGTAAGGGTTTAGCTTTCCCCTGTTAGGTTGATGATTCAAACAGTGATGTGTGTAATAAAAGTGGAGCTAACTGGAGCTGGGGGATGTCACTATTCCTCACGCTTAGAGGTGGACAGCCCCCTGACCCAGCTTCTTAAAAAACTTTCTTCTTGTGTCTTTGAATCTTCGTTTTTCCTTCATCTGCTCATCTCCACCAATCATGAGGAAAGAACCTAGAGGTAGTTTGGGGCAGGTCCCCAACAGAAAATAACAACACATACCACAGAGACATAAAAGATTATCATTGATTACTACAAAAAGCTTTATTCCAGAAATTTGAAAATGTGGAGGAAATGGACCAATACCTGGAATCACATCTCATTAAACTCAGCCAGAGAGAACTGGAATTCTTGAATAGACTAATCTCAAGGACCAAAACTGCAATAATAAAAAAAAAACCTAACACAAAAGAGTCCCAGACCAGACAGTTTGATACCAGAATTCCACGAAACCTTCAAAGAGCTTGTACTTATGTAGCAGAACCTATTCCAAAACATTGAAAAGGAAGGACATTTCCCCAACTCCTTCTATGAAGCAAGTATCATCCTGATAACAGAAATGGGAAAGGATTCAACCAAAACCCCCCCCCCCAAAACTATAGACCAATATAATTAATGAATATTGATGGAAAAATATTCAATAAAATACTAGCAAACAGAATACAGCTACACATTACAAAAATTGTACATCATTATCAGGTGGGCTTTATCCGAGGATGGAAGGTTGGTTCAATATACATAAATCCATAAATATAATCCACCACATAATTAGAAGCAAAAACAAAGACTATATGATCCTCTCAAAAGATGCTAAAAAAGCATTTGACAAAATTCAGCATCCATTTCTGATAAGAACACTTAAGAAAAGAGGGATAGATGGGACATTTCTTAATTTGATAGAAGCCATCTAAGCCAAACCCACAGCTAATATCACACTGAATGGAGGGAAACTAAAACATTTCTACTTATAACTGGATCTAGACAATAATTCACTATTGCCACTACTATTCAACATAGTGCTAGAAGTTCTAGCCAATACAATCAGGCAAGAGGATATCAAGGATATTCAAATGGTGAAAGAGGTGGTCAAACTTTCGCTCTTTGCTGGTGATATGATCTTATACTTGGAATACCCTAGGGGCTCAACCACAGTCCTTCTGGAAGAGATCAAGGAATACAGTAACATCTTGAGATATAAAAATCAATGTCTACAAATCAGTAGCCTTCATATATGCCAATAACAGTCAAGCTAAGAATCAAATCAAAGACACAATACCCTTCATAGTAGCTTTAAAGAAAAATATACCTATCAAAGATGAGTGGGATCTCCATAGAGAGAACTATGAAGCCCTGAGTTACGTTAATAACTGGAAGAACATACTATGATCTTGACTGGGAACAATCAACATTGTTAAAGTATCCATCCTTCCCAAAGCCATCTACAGATTTTTTTAAAATATATTTTTTATTAGATCATAATTGTGTACATTAATTCTATCATAGGATATAGTGTGTTGCTTCCATATACAGTTTGAAAAACTCTCATCCAACTGGCTAACATAGCCATCATGTCTTTCTCATAATTGTTGTGTTAAGACATTTATATTCGACCTTTAGACAAATTCACATGTACCCTAATAGGATAAATCATAGGCGTGATCCCCACCATCTATAGATTTAATGAAATCCCCCTTAAAGCACCAACACCATACTTCAAAGAACTTAAAAAAACAGTTCTTTGTTTCTGGAACCAGAAAAAACATTGAATAGCAAACACTATTCTAAGAAATAAAAATAAGTTTGGAAGCATCATGTTACCAGACTTCAGGTTATACTACAAGTCCACAGTGATCAAAACAGCATGGTACTGGCACAAAAATTGAGATACAGATCTATGGAATAGAATAGCGAATCCAGAGATGAAGTCAGCTGCATATTGCCATCTGATCTTTGATAAACCAAACAAAAGCATAGACTGAGGAAAATAACACCTATTTAACAAATGGTTCTGGGAGAACTGGTTAGCTACAAGTAGAAGACCAAAACTGGACCGACACCTCTCACTATTTAAAAAATTGACTCAAGCTGGATAAAAGATTTAAATCTGATTTAAATCTAAGACATGAAATGATAAAAACTCTAGAAGAAAATATCGAACTCTTGACTACACTGGCCTAGGAAAAGATTTTATGAAGAAGACTCCATTGGGCGGTGCCTGTGGCTGACTTAGTAGGGCGCTGGCCCCATATACCGAGGGTGGTGGGTTCAAACCTAGCCCCAGCCAACTGCAACAAAAAAATAGCCAGGTGTTGTGGCAGGAGCCTATAGTCCCAGGTATTTGGGAGGCTGAGGCAAGAGAATCAAGTCCAAGAGCTGGAGGTTGCTGTGAGCTGTGACACCAAGGCACTCTACCGAGGATGACATAAAAAAAAAAAAGACTCCACTGGCAGTTGCAGCAACACCACAAATAAATAAATGGTACATGATCAAGCTAAAAAGCTTCTGCACAGCTAAGGGCACAATAACTAAAGCAAACAGACAACCTTTGGAATGGAAGAAGATATTTACTTATTACAAATCTGACAAGGATCTAGTTACCAGAATCTACATAGAACTCAAATTAATTAATGAGGAAAAAAAGAGCAAACAACCCCATTTATCACTGGGCAAGAGAAAAGAACAGAACCTTCTTCCAAGAAGAGAGACAAATGGCCAACAAAGACATGAAAAAATGCTCATTGCCCTAATCATCAGAGACGTGTAAATCAAAACCACCCTGAGACATCACCCAACCCCAGTGAGAATGGCCCATAATACAAAGTCCCTAAGTTGCAGATACTGGTGGGGATGTGGTAATGCGGGAACACTTACATTGTTGGTGGGTATGTCTATGGCATAACCTTCTGAGGGAAGGGCTCAACTACAACTTGGACTTTACTTAACACACGCAAACAACATAACCTAATTGTTTGTGCCCATATAGTAATCTGACATTTGAAAAAACAAGAAAACAAAAGAACAACAAAACCTATTATTTTAAGAGTCCCAACTTTTCTATCTCTTGCCTTAAAAAAGGGTGTTAAAACCTTGAACCAAATGGATACATTCTTGAAGTAATCAGGTAGAATGAAAGCAAATCGAAAGAGATTAACAACTTCATCAGATCCACTGTTATCTAATGTCAATATCACCTAAAATCAAGAGCTATCAAATTCTGAAAAAATACTCAGTAAACTTAAAATACTTATTTAAATTATAATGCGAATGCATTAATACCTATTATAAAATTAAATTGATGAAGTCATGTTCCATTACTTATGTATTTTATCATTTCAGTTAATTATCCATTCCAACATAAGTGCTTATAAGATCTTGATCATATATTTCTGTATCCATTTGAATGAAACAATTGGAAAAAATCTAAAATTTTAAAAATTACTGCTTCTTAATAGAAGCTTATCTTTAAATTCCTTACATTTGTTCAAACAATGATACAATCAACTCTTTATGAATGTTACTGTAAAATGGCCTTTAATTATACTAATAGTCTCACAGGGTTATTGACAAATTAAATGAAATATATATAAATTGATTACAAAAATGCCCAACACATAGTAGGCCTAATATAAACATTTGCTATGATGATGATATACTATAAATACCAACATGAATACATAACAAAATAAACCTCATTTTTACCAATGAGTATGACAAATCCATTTTCATATTTTCTGACTTTTGAGAATCTATATATTCCTGTAGCTTCTTAATCTGGTCTTCCTTTTCTTTAAGTAGGTCTACTTTAGAGCTTAGTTCATTCTAAAAGAATCAAAGGAGAGGAAAACATAGTTTAGTATTTGATTTGAATTCTAAGGAATTAACAAAATAACATATATATTAGTTTAAATTCATAGTAAAATCCCATGTTTTACAGTTCTAGTTACTTATTAATAGAAATACTAACATGAATGCTCACCTCAAGGTCTTGGTTATATACTTCTGCATGTTTAACTAAATTCTTTAAGTTGGAAATTTCATGAATTAGTTGCATCTGGAAGAGCATGTGAACAGGCAACAGAGCAAACCAAAAGTTAATAAAGCCAAAAAAAAAAAAAAAATAGACAGCATTCATTCTCTGCTTCAGAATCACCCAACACAGGTAGAAAGGACTGAGAGATCAACTGTTCAAGCTACTAGAGCATGTCATTATTTAAAAATACAAGAAATAATCACCAAAACCACATAAAACAATCAAATAAGAAAAAGAATCTCAGCATGACCCCAATAGTTATCTGTTAATAAAGCTACAATAATGTCGACAGCAAATTAGTATGTACCACTTGGAAGAGATAGTAAAGTGGTAATTAAACTTTAAAAAAGTATGCTTTTAACAGATTTTGTTTTAGATAAGTTAAATGTCAAAATATATTAATGCTATAAGACTTTTTTTTCTTCCCATAAATCATTTATCTGGCTCTATACCAACATACTTCGTAATGAGTTCTGACTTGGAATCTAGGTTTTGATTAGGGTTGTTTCATGTAGTGCCTTTACAGCATTATACTATTCATCAAAGCTGTAGAGTTGTGGGATTGTCCACTATTACCGTGTTGATCTGTTCTACAGGAAATATTGAAAAGATGATATAGTCGCTTTATATTGTTCAACTGTGTAAAAGTATAAAGATACAAGTATTTCTATTAAAGTTTCTTTTTTATCAAAATATCTGCAGCATCAAATGTTGAAGTACAAGAAAGTTTTATGCTCAAAATAAGTAAACTACAATTTACCAAAGATAAACATACTTTCTCTTAACACTTACAAAGAAAAAGCAAATTCTAACAATATATAAAGGATTTAAGAAAATAGAGTCTTGCTTAAATAATATTTTCTGGATATTTAATTCAGTCCTGACTAGTTTTAGATTTCAGATCAGTGACAGTATGGAAATTCCTATTTTAGATCAGTACTGTCCAACAGCAAGATAGTGTGAGTCATGTGTAGTTCAAATTTTTTATAATGTGCCCTAGCAGATACTAAAAAAACATAAAAAGTAAAGGATAGAATCAACTTTAATAATAATATATTTTATTTCAGATAACATATCTAAAATATCATCATTTCTTCAGGTAATCAATATAAATAAATGAACCATTTTACATCCTTTTTTCCCTACTAAGTCAATTCAGACAGGCCCCCCTTCCAAGTGCTTAACTGCCAAACATGGTTACTGGCTTCCCTATCATCCAGGCACAGTCTTAGACATTTGTACTGTTTATAACTTAAATTGCCTTCAATCTTTTGCCTACCCCCCCATTTCTAATGAATGTATAAGAAAATTGCATTTACCAATAAAGAAGAACCAAATAATCAATTTTAACTTTTGAAAACATTTAGGAAATAACTATTTAGAAGGAAACATTCTTCTACTTCTCATTTGAGACAGTACTTCATCTTAAGTTTTGTTCTCATAAACAGAAAAAATTAACTTTGTAAAGACAAAACCGTAATGTCTCAATGAATTATTAAAGTTGCTGAGGGAACAGAAAGTGCTTGAAAAACAAAATAATTTAACTGTTATGATAGTGTCAACTGCCCATTACTAGATAAGAAAATATGGCACATTTTAACTATAATTTTCAGCAGGTGTAATGAAGTATTTAATTTAAATCTTGTAAATTGTGAAAATTATAAAATTAAATAAACCAAGTTAAAATAGGTAGAAGGTTAATACTTTTCTTGTTCCTCAGCATGATGATACGTGATGTTTTTTATTCTTCCCTCTAAATATATAACTGTATTTCCACTTGAAAATTATCTACAACTTTGATAATTTTTGACAAAACCTTTGGTAAAAACAAGAAAATGACCATATGTCCCAATGCCATAATTTGTCTTTTATGCCCTTTGGTTAGACTTTTCCCCCAAATGTATGCTTTGAAACATATTTTGCTGCTTACATGCATGCAAACTTATATTTTTAGTTTAACATGGAATAGGGACTGCTGGACTGTTTCTGAACATGATTTTTGTGTCCATTTAAAAAAGAAGGGAGTAGGATTAACTTCCTCCTCAACTGTGGTTAAAATGGAAGGAATGCTAGGATGTGAAGCACGTCATACATTCTGTGACCTGCTGTAATCTATGTGCTGCATCAATTCAGTGAGCTACAATTTTCATTAACTAAATTAATGATGTGAGAAATAAACATATAATTGTTGCCATATTTATACTCAAAGTTATTTTTATGTCATATTATTATTACCAATAAGAAATATATATACAAAAATTAGATCAAACTTGGGAGTCAGAAGGGACCTTGGTGAGCACCTAATCTCTACCTCAAGGGAGAGAAACACAGGAAGCGAGACAGATTCAATGACTTGCCTTGGCAATAATTCACGATGAGTTTGGACTCACAGTGAGCTTCTGAGTAGCAAAACCAGGGCTTTAATTATGACAGCTTTGCTGGAGAGAACATGCTGCTAACCATGGTACTAGACCACCTCCCTCAATAAAACCATGTTTTACTAATTGAAGTCCAACGCTCTTTCCATGATATTTTTCACTTTATTTATATGTAGAAGTTTAAACAAGTGAAACTGTGTGAAAAACTTATAAACTTTTACCTCTTGAATATAGTAGCTACAAAATGTAGCAATAACTGTAATTTATAGGTAGAATGAAAATAATAGCGTTAGCATAGAATTCTTTTTCCCTTTAATAAGAAAAAGAGGTGAGAAAGTAAACAATACTGAGGAAAAGCGATCAGGCCCTTTTGGACTAGCCACACAGAAATCTGAAGGGTAGCGGCAAAGTAACTCCTTAGTTACTTAACTACATCAAAGCACTGGCTCTTATTTTGAGGGTGGGGGTTCAGGGACCACTTTGTAAGTCTGATAACAGGCATGGCTTCATTTCAGAAAAATGAATATGCACCTAAAAACTTTACAAAATAATTTCGTAGTGCCTGTGGACTCTAGGTTTAGGTCACATTGTACTAAAAAGTCCCTTAAATCTTTTGGATAATTTCTGAGTCCCTGTAGTCTGATAGTTTCCGGATTAGAAACCTTATTATGTAGTATAATATAGACTTTGAAAATTTGAGTAATCTGTTGTTTCTAAAAATTCCATTGAAACTATTCAGTATTACGTATACTAATTTTCACAATAACTCTTTTATATGGAGAAAGAAAAATAAAATATGCAAAAATCAGCTTCTCTAGTTATCCTAATAATGTTTCAACTCTTTAGGGATATATATTCTAAGGGAAAGGAATCCATTAATATGTAGCATCCAAATATAAAACAGATAGATATTAAAATTCACTTTGGTCTCAGTAGGAAAGGGCTATGTCTTAGGCAGCATTTATAGTACACTCCACAAATTAAATATTGGTAATTTATAAACTATGAGGAAGCCATCTCCTCAAGACAAATCTACGAAGAGGCAGATACACCAAATCCTCCCACAGATGGTTTAATTCTTTCTTTTCTTGCAAAAGCACAAGGGAAACAAATATGATTCAACTATGTTTAAACACTATAAATGAATTAACCATTTTTTAAATCCTCTAAAGTGGGTGTACATGTCAAAAATGATTACATCCTCAAAAATCTTAATCTGGGAAATTAATATCTTTAAGAAAAAACTTCTGAGTGACATTAGGAAGATGGCAGAATAGAAGGTTACCAGCTTATATTCTCCCAAGAATTCTGCACCCACTAGAGACAAAGCTGCCTTTGTGGGAGCCTTTGGGTTCAGGTTGGAGGCTGAGAAACCCCTGCAGAGCCCAAGACCCAGAAAGGTTATTTCAGAGGTGGCTGACCTGCCAACTGTACTCCCAGGTTTAGACCTAGAAATGGCTCCATTCCTCAAAAGCCTCCTCTGGCCTTGAGTCTGCAGCCAAAACTATTTGTCAAGGGGAGTGGAAGAATCACATATACCCGCATCTCAGCAGATGAGCTCTTCTGTCTGTTGAAATTGATCTTGGCAGCGAACATGAAAGTTATTCCGTAACTCAGCTCTGGCTACTCTCAGCTGGGATCCTAAGCCTACACAAGGCTTACACAAGGACCCAGAAGATTTGCTCATCTGAGCCACCATAACAGGTTTGCTAGCCACTGTCCCACAGCAGATTCTGAAGGGCCATGTTTTGGCTATAGCCCCTCTCTGCCACAGTCTAGGAGAATCCTGCCTATGCAGAGAACTGCTGGGAGACTTGCCTGTCTGAGCCACCGGGACAGGCTTGACAACCGCCATCCCACAACAGATATAGAAGACTTAAGCCCTGTCTCAGCTTAAGTCTCTCTGCTGCAGCCAAGGAGCAGTCCTGACTGCATGGGAACTGCTAGAAGACAAGCCTACTTCAGCCACCAGGACAGATTTACTGACTCCATCCCAGGGAAGATCCTAAAGTGATTCTATCTTGACGCTAGCCCCTGTCTATTAAGGCCTAGAGATACCCTGCCTGTGTAGACAACTCTTGGGAGATACAGCTGGACAGGGTTGCTGGCCTCAATCCCACAACAGTTTGGAAAGGAACCCTGAATGTCAACTTTTGCCTCTCAATGGCTATAGAATGCAAGCAATCCTTTCTGTATGGGGACCTCCTGGGAATCTCAACTGCTGGTGCCACTGGGTTGGGGTTACAGTGTCAGTCCCATAGCTGACTTTGAATTAACTCTGAACTTTAATTTTAGCTCCCCCCCTCCACCAGCTATAGTCTGGAAACATTTTTACCCAGCCAGAGTCCTGCCTGGAGATGCATCCATCTGATTTCCTGTGGCAGCTTCCCAAATTCTGTCTATCAGATCCTTAACTACCCCTAGATCTATCCTGGACTAGTACCTGCAGACAGAGAGTGGCTCTACCACCGGGGACCCAGAGGGAAAGGTATCCAGCAGTGCCTCTACAGGCTAATGCCCTGACGTCAATCACACTGCAGATCTTATAAATGACCTTATAAGGAAATGACCTTATATGGACTGTGAAGGCTGTGAAGGGATAAATACCTAAATCCTGAATGTACGATTACAAATGTATATGTTCCCAATACTGGAGAACTTAAATACATAAAACAAACATTAATAGGTGTAAAAGGAGAGATAGAGACTGTCCACTTATAGCAATGGACAATCATTCAGACAGAAAATCAAAAAAGGAACAGAAGATATAAATTGCACTCTAGGCCAAATGGACCTAACAGACATTTACAGAACATTCTCTGTAAGAGCTGCAGAAAGCACATCCTTACCAACTGCACATAGAACATTCTCTAGGACAGATTATATGTCAGGTCACAAAACAGTCTTAACAAAGGTGAGAAGATCAAAATCATAATCAAGTATCTCTAAGAGCTGCAGAAAACATATCCTTACCAACTGCACATAGAACATTGTCTAGGACAGATCATATGTCAGGTCACAAAACAGTCTTAACAAATGTGAGAAGATCAAAATCATAATCAAGTATCTTTTCTGACCACAATGGTATAAAACCAAAAATTCATAAAAGGAGAAACTTCAGAAAATTTACAAATAGGTAAAAGTTAAAGAACATGTTCCTGAACAACTATTAAAAGGGAATTTAGAAAAGTTTTTAAGACAAATGAAAATGGAAACACACAATACCAAAGCCTATAGGACACAGCAAAAGCAGTTCTAGGAGGGAAGTCTATTGCAATAAATACCTACGTCAAAAAAGAGCTAGGATCTCAAATGAACAACCTAATCTTGTCCTTCAAAGAACTAGAAAATCAAACACTACTAACCCACAAATTAGTAAATAGAAATGAGACAAATCAAAGGAGAAATAAATGAAACAGTACAAACATTTAAAAAAATAAAAGTTTTAAAAGGGACGTTACCTAACAAATGCAATCAGTATAACCTCTTTGTACCCTCGAAAATCCCAAACAATAAATGAATAAAAATTTTTTTCAAAGAAAAAATTGGCAAACTTTCAGCTACACTAAGAAAAAGAGAGAGAAGACAAATAAAATCAGAGATGGAAAAGAGGACATTCCAACTGATGCAACAGAAACACAAAGGATCACGAAGACCATTATGAACAATTACATGCCAACAAATTGGAAAATCTAGAAGAAATGGATAAATTCCTGAACACATGTAACCTACCAACACTGAATTATGCAGAAATAGAAAATCTAAACAGACTGCTAAGTCTCCCATCAAAGAAAGGTTCAGGACCTGAAAGCATCAATGCTGAATTCTACCAAACATGTAAGGAAGAACTAATATCAATTCTTTTCAAAGTTTCCAAAAAACAGAAGAAGTTATTCTTCCTAACGTATTCTATGAGGCCAGCATTAACCTGTTACCAAAATGAATCAAGGATACAATCAAAAAGGAAAATGACAGGGTAATATGCCTGAAGAACACAGACACAATAACCCACCACAAAACACTATTAAAGTGAATTTAATAGCATGTTAAAAAGATCATTCATCACAATCAAGTGGGATTTATCCCAGGAATGCATACACTGTTCAGCATACAGAAATCAATAAATGGGACATACCACATTAACAGAATGAAGAAGAAAAACCATACGATCACTTCAATAGATGCATTAAAAGCAGGGCAAAATTAAACATCCCTTCGTGATAAAAACTCTCAACAAATTAGAAATAGAAGGGTTATACCTCAACACAGAAGGCCATATGTAACAAATCCACAGCTAACATCATCCACAGCTAACGGAGCAAAGTTGAAAGCTTTTACTCTAAGCCTTGGAACAAGACAAGGACGCCCATTTTTGCCACTTCTATTCATCATAGTACTAAAATTCTAACCAGAGCAATTAGCCAAGAGAGCTAAATAAAAGGCATTCTAATCAGAAATAAGGAAGTTAAATTGTTCCCACTCACAGATAAAATAATCCTATAAAACAAAACCTAAAGATACCCCTAAAACTGTTAGAATAAACAAATACAATAAAATTGCAAGATACAAAACCAATATTCCAAAATCAGTACCGTTTCTATACACTAACAGCAAACTATATAAAAATAAAACTAAGAAAACACAATCTCATTTATGATAGCAACAACTAAAAAAATCCCCGGAAATAAATTTGACCAAAGAGGTGACATATCTCTAAAATGAAACTATAAAACATTAAGGAAAGAAACTGAAGATATAAATAAAGAAAAAAAGGCCTGTGTCCATGTGGTGGAAAAATTAACATTGCTATAATGTCCACACTATTCAAGTGATCCAGATTCAGTGCATTCTCTACCAAAATACAAATGACATTCTTCACTGTCATAGACAAAACAATCCTAACATTCATATAGATCCACAAAACATACTGAATGACCAAAGGATTGCGGACCAAAAAGAACAAATCTGGAGACATCATACAATCTACCTTTAAAATATACTATAAAGCCATAGGAACCAAAATAGCACATACTGACAAAAAAGCAGATATACAGACGAGTGAAACAAACAGAGAACCCATTTTTTCATATATCTGTAGGCCACGCACCTATCTTCTTTAGAGAAATTTCTTTTCAAGTCCCTTGCTGACCCTGAGATGGGATCACTTATTTTCTTCTTGCTAATATGTTTGAGTTCTCTATGGATTCTGGTTATCAAACCTTTGTCAGAGACATAACCTGCAAATATCTTCTCCCATTCTGCTTTATTTACTGTGTTCTTGGCTATGCAGAAGTTTTTTAGTTTGATCAGGTCCCCAAAGTGCATTTTTGATGTTGCTTCAATTACCCGAGGGGTCATCCTATAAAACTACTAGAAGAGAATGTAGGGAAATGCTTCATAACAGTGGTCTAGGCAAGAATTTTTTTGATAAGGCCTCAAAATCACAAGTAACAAAAGCAAAAATAGACAAATGGGATTACATCAAACTAAAAAGCTTCTTGCACAACAAAGTAAACAATGACCACATGATGAAGAGACAACCTACAGTATGGGAGACAACATCTGCAAACTATACATCTGACAAACTGTTAATATCCAAAATATATAAGGAATTCAAACACTCAATAGCAAAAATCCAAATAATCAAATTACTCTATGACATAGATGAGTAAAAGTTCTGAATAGACATTTTTCCAAAGAAGACATACAAATGGCCAACAGGTATATGAAAAAATGTTCAACATCACTCGTCATCAGGGAGATACAAGTCCATGCCACAATGAGGTTCACCTCATCTCAGAACGGCTACTGTCAAAAAGGCAAAGAGAACATTCTGGCAAGGATGTGGAGAAAACAAAACTCTTTATCATATTAGTGAGAATATATGAAAAATAAAATGAGGCTTCCTCAAAAAAATTAAAAATATGACTCCCATATGATCCAGCAATCCCAGTATTGGGTATATATACAAAGAAAAGGATTCTCGGTATGTCAGAGAGAGATCTGCTCTCCCATGCTTATTGCAGCACTATTCACAGTAGCTGAGTTATGGAACCAACCTACGCATCCATCTACTGAAGAATGGCAAAGAAAGTTTGGTATACAGACCTAATGGAATACTATAGAATTACAAAAAAAGAATAAAATCCTGCCACTTGCAACAACATGAATAAAACTGAAAGATATTATGTTAAGTGACATAAGCCAGTTGGAGAAAGACAAATACTACATGATCTTGCACAATTGCAGAATCTAAAAAAGTTGATCTCTTAAGAGAGAAAGTAAATGGTGGTTGGGGGACGAGGGAAAGGGCAAAATCTTGGTCAGATAATACATAATTACACTTAGACAGGAAGAACAGATTTCAAGAGATCTATACTATGGCAAGATGACTATATTCAAGGACAATATATTGTATCATTACAAAAACGTGAAAAGCGAAATGTTGTGTGCTATCACCACAAACACGACATGTGGAGCAGTGCTAGGGCTAGGGTTATGCATTTGTTAGCTAGATTAACCATATCACAATGTACATAAACTTCAGAAACATCATGTTCTACACAATAAAAACATATTATCTGTGAATTTAAAAAATAAAGTAAAATCTAATAAATGTTCACACTATCAAAAAAAGAATGTTACTGCGTTTAAAAGTATAGTTTAGTTTCACATTTTCCCTTTCTTACCTCTTGATCTTTTTTAGTTTTCCTTTCTAGAGCCTCAAATTCATCCAAATCATTCTTTTCTTTTAATTTCAATTCTATTTCTTCTTTTTCTGTTCTTAGTTGTTCATAGTCTAATACCAGATTATCGTAGTTTGCACGAAGTGAGTTCAACTCACTTTCTACATTTTCCTATTATAAACAAAAGCAGATTTTTCAATCAGAGGGAATTTGTACCATATATTCTTTGATTCCTCAAATACAATTTGGATTAAATCATTAATTTAACTTTGATTCATTTGGTAGTTTAGGCTATTCTTTTTAAAAAATATCTTTCTAACGGTCTACATTATGGTAAACTAGCTAATTTAAAATAAAATATTTTCAAAGAGTAGAATAAAAAATGTATATAAATAAATCATGTTTGCCTGTGCCTGATAGGGAAGTTCAACTGGGAAGGTAGGGTGCGTATTGGGAAGTCCATGTGGCTACAATTCCTCAAGTTCTTCACTAATAAAGCTGATAATCTAATTCCACTTCTGTCCAACTCCTATTTTATGTCTAAGATGGCTCTGAATTCAAGAAGGGAAACAGATATTGTTTATTTATTTTATATTGTTCTAAATAAATAATATGCTTTATCACACCCAAAGAGGCCTATCTCTACTTTCCCTATTATGAGAAAGAGAGATACTAAGAGTTTAAAAAAGAACGGACACCAGCGATTTAAAAAACAACAACAAACTTCTACAGTATGTCTTAGGAATACCAAAGCACACTGTCCATAGTACTTTATACGCATTAACTAATGATCATAAGAAGCATTGCAATTGTGTTCCAAAATTAAAATAAAATTTTCTTTAATAAATATATTATACACCTATGCATCTTTGAATATGAGCAATCTAGAAAGTAAAAATGGGATCTAAACTTATTTTAGTATCTACCACAGTATTTTTATTTTTTGTTTCTTAAAGTTTGATAATACCACATACCTTTATTTAGGAGTCTTACCTGGGAAAACTGTCCCATCCTAATGTATTAATCTATATATTCTATATGGCTGAGAATTTGGACACTTTAAAAATTAATCTTTTTACCTTCATAGGATTTCCCAAGACAAAACAGAAACTTTACAATCATAGATACTAAGCTCTGCTAGTAAAAGCTAGAAGCAAAGGTTTACCTATTAGCACACACCTGCTTTATGCAACTTTTAGTCTTTCTCAAGATGCCTCACAGTTACCAAGTAGAAGTATAAAGAGTAAGGGAAGCCTTCTTCAGAGTCAAAATTGTTACTGGTATTAAGTCAGACTTAGTAATGTGCTACAACAAAAAAATCCAATAGCAAAAGAATTTTAAAAAGAGCAAAGGATTATGTTCTATAAAATACGTTCAGTTACCTGATTTAGTAGCTTTGTTGCTGGATTCCATTCTATCTCAGTTAATGTATCAAGGGTGTTACTAAAAGTATCGGACTCTGAACAGAGAGCTGTAATTAGAGATAAAAGAAATTTATCTATAAACATATTTATTAAATTTCCTAAGTCAAATTAAAGATTATTTAAAAGGTTTGATGAGAGTTAATAATTAATAAGCTTATATTTGCTCACAGTATGAATGCCAAAAATATATTAACAGGTGTGATCTCTTACATTGTTGTGTGCATTAAGAACACTGGTATGAATTAGTGATAAAATATAGGATCCTTAATGCAATATAGGTAAAAAGGACAAATTCTGAATTTGGGATTTGATCACTGTAAATAAATTTTAAAATGCTCCCTAAAATAGATTATAATGTTGGAGGCATAATTTTTGAAACAGATTTCTATGTTTCAAGATTAGCAATGTTAAAGGTAGATGCTATATCACTAGTAATTTAATTGGATAATGATTAGAACAAAGATCAACAAAACATCTTTCTCTGTGCATTTCACCTATAATGCATTATTCTTAAGAGATATGAAATAAATAATTTCACGAATGTACACTTTCTAAAAATTACTTATTTTTATAATAATGTCCATTGTAATCACATCTGCAATACACACACTTTATTTAAACATGTTTTATCACATCAACTGAGTTATAAATAGCTTCTCTTTATGAGGAGGCTTTTATAATTTTATAATTAAAAGTAGTTCCACTTGAGAAACCACTCACATTCATCAATTTCTCCTAATACAGTTACAGAAGGCTTGTGTGTTTTTATTGTTACAGTTGTTGGTATTCTAAATCCATCTGTATAGTTTGAGTCCTTCATTTTGTTAATTTTGCCAGGGCACCAAGTAACTCTTCGTTTTCTTTTGGTCTAAAGAAAAAAAATCAAAATTATGTTACACAGATCTTGTTTGAAACAAGGTAACTAGTTTCTATTTTTGAAAACTGCTGACTTGGTGGAATTCTTATTGAGGCTAGTTTGATGTCTTGCTAGTCTAAGGACATCCCAAAATTGAAAACATATCAAACTTTTCAAATCAGTGTTTAGCCATGTAGTAAATTTTGTAAAATGACTATCTCTCTATATTTTTTTATTTGAAGGGTTACTTACAACCTCTGAAACGTGAAAGGAATTTGTTGACTTACAACCATTCAAACAATCTATTACTATATAGATGGGATAGCTGCTGCTACCATCATTACAGCCACCCCTGTGGGTACCTAATTGGGAAGGAATAGACCACAGATAATACCGCAGAATCTCCTTCAGTAATTAAATCTTCCACAGGGTACTTCCCATGACAACCCTCTTCTACTTTGCTTTGTAGATTAAGTGCCTCCACCAGTGACCCTAATCTTGTTCCTTCCTTTCTCTCTTAAGACTTGCTTCTCCAGTCATCGGTCCCTCTGTCAATTCCACTGGCTCCCTCCTAAGCTTCAAAAATGCTTAGAGGAGTTGGGACCGCAATAAGTTCAGACTCTATCCATACAACCATTCCACTACATTGCCTCAAGATTATCTCTTGTTCCCAGAGTATATTACATGTTCTTATGCCTCTCTACATGCTGCCCTTTTGCTTAAAATGAAGAGTATTTTCCATAGCTCATTCTACAAAAGCCTAGTCACACACATCCTTGACTCCAGTAAACTTCTGCTCAACTCCATTTGCTCCCAAAGCCACACCTGGACCTTGTTATTATCTAAAACTCGTAAACCTAAACCTGCTCTTACTGAAGTTCTGTCCTTCCAACTCATTTAATCAGTTAATCCCATTATAGCGATTTAGCTTCCCAGGGACCTCTTTTCCCCTGCTGTATGACTTTCTTCCTGCCAGCTCCCTCTTGATTCTCATCTCATCTTAGACAACACATTATTATTTTAATCATGCTTGTATGTGAAGTCAACATCCTCAAATTACTTGGCCCATTGTGTCTCTCATACCTACCCAACACAAGGTATGAATTACACTGCAGATGAATTACACTGCATT